TTTCTGTGCTACAGGGCACCTCACTGGAGGGTTTATTGCCTTTTCTCCCCTGAGGCTACACAAGCCCGAGCTGGAGTGGAGGCTGCAAAGCCAAGAGAAACATCCATGTGCTGGAACACCCACCCCCTGACAGGAGCAGGGTCAAGAACAGAGCACCCAAAGTTACATCCTCCCCTCAGAAAAGAAGGCCAGGTCCTTTGTATCCTTCCTGAAATCCCCACTTAGAAAGATCTTGAGAAAATTTTTTGCTTGGCATGAATAGCATTAAAAGCCTTTAAACAACTTCTGCCCAGCTTCTGGAAATATAATTTTGTAGCAAAAAAGTAGGAGAGATCTCTCACTTTCTTGCAGAGGAAATTTTGTAATAACATGGATATCTGAAATATTATAGGCAGTGCAAAGACATAACTTTAATTCACAGAATCACAGAATGTTTAGGCATTGGAATGGACCTTAAAGATCATCTGCTCCCAAATCCCCCCTGCCGTGGCAGGGACATCTCCCACCACACCAGGCTGCTCCAGCCTGGCTTTGAACACTGCCAGGGCTCCAGCCAGCACAAAGGATTTCAAACTGGGCAATGGAAGTTTACCTCCAAATTATCCTGAAGAATTTAATTAAGAAATAAGACTTATCAGGAGGAAAAGAAAAAAAAAGAAAATAAGATAAAAAGGCAAAAAGTAGCAAAAATAAAGATCAGATGATTTACTGAAGGATAGATGGTGTGAGCAATTCACCTGTCCAAGAGCATGGTCTGAGAACTAAAGACATTTGGAAAGGCAAACTGTCCATCAGATTTTGTAGCTAATAAGCTGAATATGAGAAGTTAAACTGCTCAACGAGTTTATTAATACAACAAAAATGCCCAAGGCTATTTTAACAGAACAAAGTGTGGGCGAATCTATTTTACTTGCAACAGTGAAAATTTCTAAGCAGCTGAAACTGAGTGAGCAGACAGCAGAAGGCACAGATGAGACAACACAAAATCCAAGCATCCAGGACTATTTTGGATTCATGTGACTCAATGCTGGTAGCAGGAAATAGAGAGAAGACAAAGCAAGCCCATCATACACATAATTCTCTCATTTATGGGAGATTACTGTGTTCCATCAGTCAAGTAGGAATTATTGCTGGCTGGCTTGGAAACTTAGAGTTGGCAATGTATTAAATGGATCTTGGCAAGTAAAACTGTTGGGCTTTCAAATGGGACAAATCTTTTCTTTCTGACAGAACTGCTCTGTTCCACTTCCTTTGGTTTTCCTGCTGGCTGAAAGGATGGGAACGTCACCCCCGCCCAGGAGGCGGCCCCTCAGCACAAGTTCTGTATATATTCTATTTTTCAGTGAAAAACACCCACAAACACCAGTTACAAAAAGCATAAACCCATCCCACTGAAGAGATACAGCAGCACCCAGTGCCCCTGGGCACGGCAGTGTCAGCTCTGGGGAGGGACAGGGCCAGTGTGGGAGAGGCAGAGCCAGCACTGCTGATGCTGCAGAGCCACCTGAGCAGCCTTGGCTGCAGCCCCTTCTCCAGCCACACTGACACCCAGCATTCTAAACTGGCAAACAGGAGGCTCCTGCTCGTCACCCCTCTCAAACCTTGTATTCCATCCCTGGAAAAACCTCAGAGAACTTCCAGTACTTTCAGGGGATGAAGAAATTAGAAAAGAGATTCTTCCCCAGAATTATACAGAATAAAGCAGAAGAGAGCTGAACTTTCCATCTGCATTTTAGAACAGATTTGATGTCAAAAGTCAGAGGAAATTTTTTACATATATATATAAATAAATTTTAAAAATAACAAAACTTCTTTACTGTAGCACCTATCTCTGTTCAGTGTATCATATAAACCAGATATTTTAACATACAGACATTTAATTAAAACCACTTTTTTTCTTGAGTTCTGACTGCATATCTTATTCAAGCTTTGCTCACCCTACTGTAAAATGTTATCCTAGATTCAAATCTCTAAATTTACTGTTTTATATATGTTGTCAGATCACTAATATCCTCTTGCAAGTCATCTTAACTACCAACATAGCAATTTTCCCTGTAATGACTCTTCATTTAAGACTATATGTTTACAATTTTCTACCATTTAGGTGATTTAAGTACATCATCTATTGAATGTCCTGATCTTGGCAGCAAAGAATTTTCTTGCCAGATGGAATATGAAAATAACATGAAAGAAAACATTTTCCCAAAGCACAGATAGCTGGCAGATATCCCTCAGAAACAAAAATCCTTCTTAACCTAAAAGTATCCAGTCTGTCATGTTCTCTGTAAAAAAATGGTCAAGAATTCAGCTCTGCCTTTCCCCAGTGCCTGCAGCATGCCCAGGGCAGCTGTGAGGACAACATGCCAACCACAGAGATGTCCACAGCCATTAGCAGCCACTGCTCTCTTCCCTCCCCTCTTTCAGTGACAGCACAATCCAGGTGCTTCCCAAAGTGCCTCCTGGTCCTTCCTGGAATTTACCTTCACAGTGTCAGGTCTGATCAGATGTGACATGAATACCATGTATGGGCTCACAAAACCAAAAAGAACAATGTTCAGGGATCACTGCTTGTGTATGAAATAGAGATTAAACTACAGGGACATAAAAGAATGGGCTAGTTACATTTACATTAATAAGATCCCCTGCAGTTCAGTGCATTTGGTCACAGCAATCAGGGTAAATGCAGCCAAATTCACAGTAACACACGTGTGTGTGTGCATGTGATGTATGTACACACTTGGTTATCAACAGAGGCGGTAAAAAAATTTAAGACTGATACTTACAGGAACCTCACTTTAGTAGAACACAAAGTAAGAATATGTGACTGCAAGTGTAAGCAAAGGTAAATAACAAAGCAAGAGTAGTAGTGATTTTCAGAAAAATAGTAATGTCTGGGATTCTCTAGCTGATATGTGGAAAACACAATTAAGCAGGCATTTTTAAGATATGTGGAAATTATTACTAAGCAGGCATTAAATATATCAGTACTGTGGACACTTGAAATGACATTAACTCTCAATTGGATTTAGATGAAATAAATAGAAAAAGCTATTTAAAGCTATAAAACTGAAACCTTACTATCAGACTCAGATCACTGATTGCTACAGGGTCCAGTGAAGGCAAAGGCAGAATATGATCCCTCAAACAATCCTGTCACGATACCACCAGTGCATCTGCCCCAGCCAGCCCAGGGTTTGTAAGATATTTCAGCCAGAAAGCCTCTCTCACCTACTCAGCTGAGGAGGAGGAAGAGAAGGGATCCTCTACATTCCATCACAAAAGGATGACCGTGGATCATCCATGGATCATTAATGATTAGGACACAAAAGAAGGGGTTTTCTTGCCATGTCCTCATCTCTGAGGTGTCTGTCCATGTGCCACAGTCTGCACCACAACACTCTGACTGTCTGAGAAACAAGAGGGGTCGTTCCCTCTGGGCTCTGCAGTTCCAGGAGGGCTGGAGCCAATGCAGTCCCTGATGCTGGGGATGGGCAGGGGGGCCAAGGGATGCTCATCCTGCCACTGCCCTCAGAGCACAGCTCATTTCAGCACAGCAAAGGAACAATGCAGAGTTCCCATCCCTCTCAGGGCAAAGACAACACTTGAGATGTACCCAGCAGAGTCTTACAGGGATAATCCCAAATCTGACATTGCTAGATATACCAGAGGACTAGAAAATTATTTCCTGATCAGAAAAAAAAATGTCTAAAGATCTTTAACTTTGGGTTGTGCAAAAGTTCTACAACAGAAAAAAACCCAAACCAACCAAACACGTGGAATTACTATAAAACCATTTTAGATACCATATTGTGATTGAAAGTATTGAAGAAAATAACCCTGGGTAATAAAGGATCCAAGCAGTAATAATGTTTCCTCTAATTACATTAAACAGCTTTAAGTAAAAAACAGACACCATTTCACTTTATCACATCTCATAAAAGATATTAAAACTGATTTGCTATTTATGTTTAATGAAAAGGAGGAAATGTTTCATCTATTTCTAATTTACTCTGAAAAATAAAGATTATGATTTCAAAGTCTTAAATTGAAAGTCAGGCTGAATCCACTGTTGTTCTTGCTCTCACTGCAGTAACACAGATGTGTGGTAAGAAGGTGGTTTATATTTCACTTTAAACTACAACTCTGCTTCAAGGCTCCACTGAACAACAACCAACTCCAGACTTGCTCCAAGCCATAGTGCCAAAGCCTCCTGCTCCCACAGGAACCACACCTGGAACAACACAAATGGCAAATCCAAGCAGCAGCTCTGCATTTGCCATTGTTAACCCAAACCATGCCTGCCCTCTGTTTTGTCACCTCCCAGCCAGGTTCTCAGTCACCTCTGGCAGCAAGATTTTTAAATCACTTTCTGGGTAATTGTTTTTCCTGCAAACATTGCTAACCAGACATCTGCCCCAGTCTTCAGACCTCCTCAAGAGTGAAGCTCTCTTGCTGCTTTCTCCAGTCCCCACTCTCCAAACAGGCACACACAACAATAAGAACATTTCAAGTCACACCTCTTAGGGAAAATCAGAAAGCTGGTTCATACAAACCAATACAATATTTAAACAAAAATACTTATAAAATATATCAGTTAAACTACCAATTCATCTAGCATATACATTTTCCATTTTTTCCTCTAATCCTCATTTTGTATTTCCTATTTCAATTCCTTTGAGGAAGCAATTCCAAACCAGACTTTTAATCCTGAATTAGTATTTCAAATGATATTTACAGTCTTATCTGTTCTTAATGCAAGTGTCTGAACTGCACTAAAAATGGCATTTTATCTCCATAATTGTACTGAAAAAAAAAAAAGAAAAATTTATCTGTCCTTAGAATACTTAATTTAATTTTTTTTTCTGGAATATCATCAGTTATACAGAATACAGCAATAAAAAGAATAGCATTAAGAAAGGCAAGGAATGGGGTTTATTTTTAGGCTTTTAATCATGGTTTTAAATTAAGAGCCAGAAGAGTTAGAAATGGTTCACACTGACCTGAGTCCATAAAGGACTGTTCCATCTGGATGCAAACGAATCATTCTGTTCTTCACAGTGACCCCATGGACAAAGGACTTCTTGTCATTCAGGAAATAGGTGTCTGGCACCCACAGCTGGTCAGCTACTCTGTTGTCCAGAGTCAGGTTCAGAGGGATCACATTGTAGGACAGCCTCTTATCCCTCCACGCTTGCTGAAAGTACATTGTCAAGGTATAGTCCTGGGATTACAAAAACAAACAAAAATGGCATTGAAACAGATGGCACACGTATGCAAACCTGACAGTGCAAACACACATGTACTCACTGGAACTGTTCTTAAGGGCAAACACTTCTGCTCACAATTTCCATAAGTAGATTTATTTATTTTTACAATATTGAACATCTTGTATATACTTAATAACAGCAAGGAGAACACAGACGATGAGGCATTCACATTTTATGAATGACTTGGAAGTCTCACTTCAATATTTAAAAATAAAATGGAAAAAAAATGTAGAATTTAACAGTCTGCAAATCTCTGCAGCACTTTACAAGCCTGGGAGTTCTAGGAAACAGGAACATTCACAGATCCAAATTTCACCTCAAGGTCTCTGTATTCAGGAGCTTTGAGCAAGCCTTCTGTCCCTGAAGCTGCAGTTACCACCCAAACACTTCTCTCAATTAAAAGCTCTTCAAAGTCTGTTAACTTTCCCCTGGGCACTGAAACCAAGGGAAGCCTCTGAGGTTCCTGTGCTAAAGACTCTCAGTCTTCCACTCAATTTTACAGATGAAGTAACTCTGCTTACTTGGCTGAAGAATTCCGAGAGCACAATTAGTGTGTTGGTGAATATTCACAGTATCAGAAGACTGGCATGGTGTTGCTGCAGGCCAGGGAGAAATCCACGTTCTGCTGGGATAGTTATGGCATTTTTGTCCTTATCAACACAAAGCATGGGTGGCAGTGCTGCCCCTTCAGTCCTCCTGCCTGCAATGGTTAAAGGGCAGACCCCTCCATGTGCTGATGGAGCCTGTACCCCCTGGGCACAGCCCCTGCTCCTCCTGCCAGGGGCACAGACAGGGACAAAGCTGGGCTGTCACCAGGAGCTAAACACCAAATAACTCTTCCCAACTGTTGTACTACCAAATACATTCACCTGATAACTATTCTATAATCTGGTCAGTTTTAACAATCTGAAATCTCTTCCCCTTCCCATCTCCCCAGGGTCAGGATGAGATTCTGCTTGCAGGAACATTCCACCTACATCCGAAGGGTTTTGCTGTTCTGCTTCATCACTGTTCTGCAGGATTTAATTCACATCCAGATATCAGAAAAGCTTCAGTAATACACTGGCACTAAGAAAACATATTATTCTTTATTATGCTAATATATCACGACATAAAGTAGATGAGCTGTGGCAATTGTTCCCCTACTATGCTTGGAATGCTGTACTCTATTCCTATGCTAAGGAATAACCCACATGTATTAATATATAGCATATATATAGAACATGCTTCCCTCTTTACACCTCAGTAAAAGGAAGAGAAGAGGAGGAAGCAAACTAAACATGCATGGTTCAGTGCATAGAAAGGAATTACATAAAAGTGTAAATCTGGAGCACTGGCATAGCTCAAAGGAAAGCCAAGTCACCAGGCTGGAGTTCAAAATCAAACACACTGTGTTCCAGAAAGAGCTGGTGTTCCAACTAAAAATTATCTGTCATCTGTTGGCCCTAGTTTTCAGATGTGACTGGAGTTTCTGATGGTCAAAACAGAACACCTTAAATAAATTTTTATAAAACCCTCACAACCACGAAAGAAGCAGAGGAATAGAAGTAAAGGATGATTTTAATGTGTTAAGGCTTTAGCATCCTATTGAATTCACAGGATGGGATTGTTAGACACTTAGTGTAAGTCTGAAGATGAAACAGGAGCAAATTCATCTTCAAAGCCTAACACAAGGGAGTAGTTCCAATGAGCTGAAAGGAACACAAACCCAAACCTCCTGATGGTGTCTGTGTACACCATTGCACACATCAACTGCAAAGGTACAGCCTGTTTCCAGTACAGCAGAGTCACATTGTACCCACAGAAATAAAGAGGTCCCTCAGCTGCCCTGGCCACATGAAGTCTGAAATGCTGTCAAATACTGTATTAATATTGACAAAGCTGAAAGCAAACCTAGAATTTAAATCAGCAAACACTATATTTTCTGTAAATACACAAATAATATCAATTTTATCTCTTTCATTATTACTCCATTGTTCACCTAGATTTAAATTTAATAAACTTTTTTTATTCTGTCCAGAGCAAATTTTAGGCAGCAGAAAATGGATCATTACTCCTATTCTATCCTGATCTAAAAGATCTCTCCTCAACAGGTAAAATTCATCTCCCCGGTTTTCATCTTCTTTACTTCACACAACAAACAGAAGGGCAGCAAATATGAGACCAAGTTAATCTAATGCATAATTTCCCATATGAATAAAAAGGTATCCAACAGTTTCATTAGTATCACCATATTTAGGAGTAAGTTCTATCCTGAATGTTAACTGTGTGGTGGTTGCCTGCAAACATTTTTAGCTGCTGGAAATGCAAACAAGCTGAGATATTTAAACTTAAATAAACAGAATTGTTGCAGATAGCCAAGGCATCAGTGAATGACCATCGATTTCAATGACCCAAGGGAAGATACTGTGCAGAAAAGCATCAAATCTGAACACTGGCATTCTTATTTAGACTCACATTGCACTGATGCTCTCAAATAAGTTTTCTTAAGCAAAAAAAACCCAAACCAACAACCAGCTTGGGCCTAAAAAATAAGCAGGAGGAATATATAATATACAAAGTATATAATATACATTTTGCATTTTATAAATGCAATATATAACAGCATGGAGTTGAAGAAGCTATTTATCTTTGCTCATCAGCAATGAATGGAGAACTCATCTGTGGTTTGGTTTAAGTCTCCTGGTTATTCCCAACTTGTAAAAGTATTTTACTACATTTCCAAGTACAGCAATTTTAAAGTGGAATAATTTCCTTCTGAAGATGCTCAAAGCTGAAGGTTTTGCCTGAACACTACATTTATTTAATATGTACATTTAAAAAGCTGTTTGTTGCTGACATATTTAGAAGTGCCACTTCGTAAAATATTAAGAGCATACATCTACACTGCAAAATGTATTTTAATACAATAAAAGCTAGTATATACTTGAGAAGAAAGGAGCAAATGTTAATTCTCTTCCTGCCCAGCCTCAAATGCAGTTATCAGTGACGTGCTGTTCCTACAAGGAAAGCACACAGGGTGTTTCACTGTCAGTGGTCTATAAAACAATACAAAACAAAGCACTTCAAGCTAAAGGACCTTCAGTATATTTATTTCAAAAGCAGTGTCTTTCCCTGAGTGCTGATTCACAATCCTTTCAATCCTCATTTTGTTTAAAACCAAACACTACAACAGGTTCAATTCCTAATTCTCAGTCCTCTCAAGAAGAATGTAAAAGCTCCACTCTGTTAACACTGGACACACCACAAGGTGACTCACATAGAAACAGAAAGAACTCTTCAAAGAACGGGTGATACCAAAGAAGTGTCAAAATAAATTGTCATGTGCCCTTTCAAAAATGTACATCAGGAACCTTACAGAGAGTTCAAGCTGAACTCCCTCAATCTGTCGAGTCCCCGTTCCCAGACTGGCTTCAAATCCATGGAACACTTGTAGTTAACTCTGTCCCCTAAAACTTACAAGGGGGGGTTTCTTGATGGGAATTGTATCCTTTAAAGTCTATGATCTTCCCAAAAAGAAAAGATCCCAACAAGCAAAGTTACCATTTATTCTGCTGCAACTACCCCACAATCAGGCACCAGCAATTCTCATTTGCCAGCTGAACAACAGAGTAAAGCTGGGCTGTGTATGTCCCACATCAGCTCTCAGACCAACCCAGTACTACTGACTCAAGCCAGAGACCTGGGCACCAAAGCCAAAGGACTGCCAGCAGAGCTGGACTGCAGCAGAAACCTTCTCACTGCTGGCTCTGGGAGGGCTGCAGGAAGGACCTGTCCGATCCCAGAGACAGGGTGGTGAATTCGTGTCTCCTCAGCACTCCTGCCAGCAGCCAATATTCACTGTTTGTACTCTGATTCAGACAATGCCACGGCTTCAACACATTCCTTGCACTGAAGGGAAATAAAGCACTTCCAGCTGATGTTTCCTGGAACCTCAGCTGGTTTACAAGACACTGACACTCGATTTTCCTTCTGCCAAGTCACCCACACTGAGCCACGGCACTTTGAGCAGCTCACCATCCCCCCAGTCACTGCCCTGTCCTTCAGCCCTCTCTGATGTGCTGGCCCTTGGCAATAAGGGGCAGACATTGAAGGGACCTTGTGCTGTAAACTGTTACCTCCCTGCTACTGCCCGAGAGTCACATCCCTTGGGATCTCAGCTCGTTCTCTTTTGGAAGGATCAGGCTCTCGATACAGCACTGCAGGAGTCTCAGATGACCAAAGAAATGCAGAGTAAGATGAATAAATGCAGCTATACTCACTTGAAAGAAGTTTTGGAAACAGTAGTTTTTTGCCTCAGACAAAATTATGTGCTATTATCATTTAGTCATGTCTTTGAAGTAGAATAAAATATTTCGAGCCACAAGAAGTATCAAAACCATCTATTTATACTTGAATTTCAAAGACTTCTTTACTCATGTATCTCAAGCCATTTCCCAGAGTTCAAAGATCATTTCCTATGCAATTGTACAATTCTACAGATCTTCAGAAAAGTAAACATCTACAACAGAAATCATATTTATATTGCTTTTATTACTAGGCTTCCCTTATTATATAATATTATATAATAGCATTGCAAAAGAGTAAAAATTACTGAAAACACTAAAGAACAAAAAAAATCATAATCTTAAATAGAGGGGAAATAAACCAGTGATTATGCAGAACTGGAGATTCAACTGAAAAGTCTGAGGAGAGCAGACAGTGGCCTAAGGTATTATTTTGCAGAAGAGGCTCAAAAGCAAAAAACCACAAAGAGCTCCCAGAATCCTACATGTCCAACACCTTCAACAGCCAGGGGAGGGAGGTGGGAATTCCAGGATAAGAATAAAGTAAAGGAGTTTTCTTCTAAAGGAGCTCGGAGGCCTTTCCCCTCCGTGTAAGCATTTGCTCACACATCACGACCAACCACACTGCATTTCTGGGCTGCCTTTCTTGGCATTTTTGCTGTTTGTTT